CCCCTTTCCCCTCCAGCTTTAGTCCTCAGAGAGTACCAGGCCACGGCAAAACGGGAGTCCTGACTTGATCGAGAAACGATGCTACAGTCCAGCTGGAAAGCTGCCTTCTCGGACACCGTGGCATTGGGGACCACCGTGTCCACCTGCAGGGCGGCGTCTAGGGGAGGTGAGGGGCAAAAAAGGAGGAAAAGGCTGTTTTAGTTTCTCTGCTCAAAACAACCCGTGTGTCCATCACCAAATACATTCTAGTAACACAGTAACATACAATACACAACTACTACTGGAAGGAGTTAAGGCAGTAGTACGTGGCAGAGATGAGGAAGGGCCCAAGGAAGATGGCTAGACTACAGGAGAGCTGTGCACCCTGTGTGCCACTGTATGCAGAAGAAAATGTGTTTTGTTTGGACACGTGGATTTGGTTACATTTGCACAAAATATCTGTGGAAGAACTCACAAGAGGTGGTAACACGGCTGCTCATGGGAATCCGGGGAGGAAGGGACACTTACTTTCACTGTAACCTCTTGCAGTGGCTGAAGGGTCCCCCCAACCCCAAGATTCATGCCTATCTGGAACTTCAGAATGTGACCTTATTTGGAAATAAAGTCTTTGCAGGTGTGATGAACTCCTACTGGATTCAGGGTGGGCACTACATGCAACGACCGGTGTCCTGATGAGAAGAGAAGGGGCCACACAGAGAGAAGGCCGTGTGAACTGGGGCAATGCAGCCACAAGCCAGGGAATACTTGGGACCACAGAGAAGCTGGAAGAGGCAAGGAAGGATTCTTCCCTAGAAACTTCAGTGGGGGAAGCCTGGCCCTGCTGATAATTTGCTTCTAGACCACTAGCCTCCAGAACCATCAGACAATAAATTTTTGTTGTTTTAAGCTACGGAGCTTACACTAATTTGTTATGGCAACCCTGGACAAGGAATTCACCCTTCAGCAGTTCTGGAGTTTAAACCGTGTGCGTGTAGATGGTTACCTATGCCCCAGGGAACCGAGGAGGTAAGTATTCTCCAAGGACTGAAGCCCAGCCATAGACAACAGACCCGAAAGTGCCCCTCACCTTGAGCACAGACCCCAGAAGGATGTCCCGGACAGCATCTTCCCGACAGAGATTGGAGACACAAAACAGCCGTGGAGAGGTTGCCCAAGCAGGTGAGTCAGACCTCACAGACACCACCGGGCAGCTATAATCTCTATCTTCATTTTGCTGCCTCCCCCCTGCCTTTGTTTGGCTCACTGGGGTAGGTACTCAACAAATAATCCGTTCCCTCCCTCCTAAATGGCCTGTTTGGCCCTGTTGATGAAATGCTCGCAAAACATGCCAACATAACAGCCACAAAAGCAGAGATACCAAATCGGATTCTGCTTGGATAAAGACCAAATAGGACCACTTCCCAGGTACTGTCCTGGGCTTTCAATGAATTGGCTTCATGTCGCTCACAGGTGAACACAAAGCTGGGCGCCCCCACCTTTGTGGGGCTCTGCCAAGCCCCCGTACACCCCCATCCAGAATCTTGGTGTGCGTCACGGGCACCTGAAAGCTCAGGACCTGGGTACAGGTGGTGGGAAGAGTGCCTCGGCCCAGCACCGGTGGGGGAGAACACACTGGAAGGCAACGTGGCAGGGTGGAGAATACCCTATCATAGAGACTCCTGCTCCCTTGCACGTTGGTTTATCCTTCCAGAGATCACGGCTGACTGTGTCCCGAGCCATCAGAGAGGAATCCTACAGATTAAGGCACATCCTAGGGCACCTTCGCCCTGCAGAGCCTACCAAGCTGGTGTCCCAAAGCTCCCAGCGGCTGGCCAATGTGATGCCACGCAATGGCAAGATGGCAGAGACCCCGGAAGGGCCTCTTCCCCACCTACTCTCCCCTTGCTTTCTTCTTGTCTGAATGCTTACAATGTAAGCATTCACTTTTTTTTTTTAAGTTTATGTATTTATTTTGAAAGAGAGAGAGCAAGCCTGAGTGGGGGAGGAGCAGAGAGAGACAGAGGGAGGGAGAGAATCCCAAGCAGGCTCCGCAATGAACAGGGGTTTGAACTCAAGAACGATGAGACCGTGACCTGAGCAGAAACCAAGAGTCAGGCGCCTAACTGACTGAGCCACGCAGGTGCCCCGGCGCTTAACTTTTCATGTAAATTTCCTGGCTCCTTCGCATGCTTAGTGATGACTCAATACAAGTGTTTTGAATGAAACAGGCCCACTTTCCCGTGTCCTCCCCCCACTCCCTGTAGCATGTCTCTCACTAATGTGGTGGCCCGTGTCCGTCCCCTTCTGCCAGAGGCCAAACCATCTCCCTGTGTAGACTTTAGCACTCTTTCCTGCTTCAGGTGTAAGCCACAAGAAAGAAGGGTGCTTCTCCCCCTCCCCTGTAGGTTAAGCTGCAATGCAGTGGGCAGTCCAGAAATGTCTGTCTGCCCCTGGGCCACCTGGAGCCCTGGTTTGGCAATGTGCAAGCGGGTGAGCCTCCGGGGAGAAGAGCACACTCAGATGCCACGTCTCTGCCAATTTACCTTTGGAAGAAGACACGCGGCAGTTTCTAAGCAAGGCAAAAAGAGAAAACACATAAGCTCATGGCAAATAGGAGTAACCCCAGGCAGGGGTGATTTCCTGTCCAGCTTCGGCAAGATACAGAGCAGAGAGATAATGCCCTTTTCTGTAACAAAGGGCACGTTCACTCTCGAAGTGTGTGTTCCATGACGCATGGGGTGAGCACAGCTGCGAGGCCCCCGTGTCCCACCAAGGCAGACAGCCGCTCCACGCAGGTGTGGAAACATGACGAATGCTCCCACCAGACCACCAACAGAGGCCCTGGGATGCTCAGAAAATGGGCAAGACGGAGCATTCGCACTGGCCCAGCCACAAAGTTCATTCCTGCCCCACGTCCGCTGCGGGGGGAGGCACTGACTTTTCGCTCTGACTTGAATGAGGAGGTGATATTGCAGAGGACACAGGAATCCTGCTCACCTCTGCTTTAATTATGGGTTTAAATGTGTAACGATCATTATACTGAGTAATTATGTGCATTTAGCCACTTTAGGAACAACGGTAAGGACAAGAAAAGCCACACAGTGCAGTCAGAACAGTCGTCGGCACCAATAAAATTATTAGGAAGTGAAAGACTAAATTTCATCATTTTCTATTTAAAGCACATGAATCCATTGTTTTCCACTGAAAACCTACAAGCCCAATTTTTTGAACCGCACGACTACTGTTTCAAAAGTTTTTGCATATCTACCACCTCCTGAATCTGAATGTATTCTTTAAAGAGAAAATATTCTGTGTTCTGCAACAAGTGAAAAATGTTACTCCAGCGAAGAGAGAGGGTCACCTTAGGCCAAAGCCAGATGTGCAATTTCCCATTCGCTTAGGGGGAAAAAAATCTGAGACAATTATAAACGCAAAATGTAAATGCTCCTATGTTTAACCGCAAACAACGTATTTTGCGCAGCGCACAAAGTAGGACACTCACGAGGGGAAACGCCCAAAGCAGTGAGGGCCTGGGGATGTGAAGCCTCACCTGGCCGCATGACAGTAACAGCCATCTGCCCGGCAGTGTCCTCTGCCCGCTTATACCACACGCCGCTGGGGCTGGGGAGCCACTCCTCCACGCGGCAGCTGTAGGTCCCGCTGTCCTGCACCGCCACGTTCTGGATGAACAGCCGATACACGCCGGACGAAGGACTCTCCAGATGCAGCCGCCCCTTCAGGTTGTTTTTGGCCGCCTGCTCTCCATAGTGGAAGGTGGCCTCGCGGCTCAGGCGGGCCACAGTCTCCCGCTCCGGGTGGTTGGGCTTCCAGACAAACCACTCGACCACGAGCTGGGATGCAGCGCTGGTGCGGTTCAGCACCACACACTCCAGCTGCACCTGCTGCGTCTCCAGGACCGACAGATTCCCCTGCGCTTGGCTGAGCTTCAGGCGGCTGTCTGGAAAGGGGAGGAAAGACACATTAGCAGCGAGGCACAACAGGTGCTCGCATGCACGTTTTGCAAAGGCAGGCCGACGGCTGCCCTCCCTGTGCTAAAGGGCAGCGGCACACTCCATCAGCAGAAACACTTCTGGGTGGAGCGCCCTACACATAACGCATTCCTGGATCGCGTGTCCGAGTGCCCGGACTGTCAGCAGTTCATGGTAACAGCTGTCCCCCAATTTATATCTCGATTCAGATGCACAGAGGAGGACAAGCATGAGCTATGGATGCCTCCACACCCAGTGACAGCAGACCATAAGCATACAGCTGACCAGAGGGGTGGCTGCGAAGGGACAGGCGGGAAAGGGCGTGCTGAGACCCCCTTTCAAGCCCAGAGCAAATTTTAAAAACTGACCACAGGATGGCTAGAATACACCGGACTGTCCACCACCAAAGAACTACAGAGGAAGCAGTTTAAATATGTCCCCGAGTTGGCCTTAGGAACCGCAGTCCTTGTTTTCTCGGGTTCCCTCTCGAGGTGGGAACAGAACTGATCTGACATTAGTGAAGAAAAGGCCGATATGGATGGAACCAGTGACTTGACAGCTCAGCCCATCAGATCCTCCTCTAGAGAGAAAAGTGTCGTTAATGATGGTACACCCAGATGACAGGCGTGTAATTTCTTAAAAGGTCCTAATGAGTCTATCTGGACCAGAGAGATCAAACAGCTACAGAACTGCAGGAACACCTGGGGAAGGAGACCTTTGGAGTGACATTTGAAGAGGGAGAGGGCCGCGCACCGTCACGTTTTACTTTTTACATTTCAAAACTTCCCGAGTATTTTACAATGGAAGGCAATACCCTTTGGTATTAAAAGGTCAAAAATTAAAAATAACAGAAAAACTGTTTTAAATAACTGGTCTCCCCAGAATATACATATACGTGTGTGTGTGTGTGTGTGTGTGTGAAGATGTTAACTCTAGTTGTCCTGGGTTGAAACATTATTTTCTTCTTTGTGTTTTCCCAAAGCTCTAGAAGCATATTCTTTCTCATCAGCAAAAAAAAAAAAAAAAAAAAAAAAAAAAGGAGAGGGGTGTTGTGTAGAGAAAGGAGAAGCAGAGGAAGGAAAAAAAAAAAAACAAATGAAAACTCTCAACTGAAAAGGAGGAACGTGTTGTTTTAATCAGGGTCTTGTGCGTTTTCTGTTTATGGTATTAATATTCCCCAGAGATGGCTCTCCCTACACGGATTTTGACAAACATCCTTCCTGCCCCAGTGAGCTCACTGTGGGTCTGTAGTCTCAGATGGGGGGAGTCCCTCAATAAATTTAGGATCCACCAAGATTCTCTTAGTTTCTGCACAAACAAGTGAAGGGAAAGGATGACACATCTGGTGGGCGGGGGGATCATGTCCCCCCACCAGACAAAGTGACCAGAACTGAAAACAGACAGGAAGAACAGAAACCTAAGAGAACCCGTGTAGGCCAAATGACAAATGCCAGTTTTCAAAAGTCCCAAGGACTGGCCTGAGGTCTCTGGAAATACCAAGAGGGACCAGGCAGACCAGAGCTTCCTCTGCAATACATCAGCAGAAGGGTTCCCGAAAGTGCCACTGAGGGGGGTGACAATTTGCACTGGGGCAGTCTTAGCAATACAACACCTGGAGGGAAAAGAGGGGGCCGGGCCACGTCCAGGCCTCTGCATCTGGTCCTATGTGCTGTCTGAACAAGTGTTTATTGAGGCTTCCTGGGAGACAAGCCATGGGAACAGAAAGGTAAAAAATACACACACACACACACACACACACACACACACGTACACGCACACTTCTATATATAACACATATTTCATGATGAGTGAATTTCCATATGTATAAATACGAATAAGCAGTTTATAATTCCTTACATATGAATAAGTAAAGAAACAGAATGCCAGGTGGGGGTGTGTGCTAGGCAGGGGACAGAGAAAGGGTACAAAGTGACTAGGATGCTATTTTAGTTAAAATGAGCTAGAAACACCTCTCTGAGGAAGAATGAGATAAATGAAGATCTATGGTCAACCTGTTCCAGGCTAAGAGAACAGTAACTACAAAGGCCCTGGGGTGTCCAAGGAAAGCAGCCATCTGTTCCTTATTCAATCAATATTTATTAACGGCACCATGCCAGTGGCTGAAAATACAAAGACACAGCCCTGTCCTCAAAGTGCTTAGAGTAGAAAAGAATTGCAAACAAATAATTGTTACATTAGGTATTTTATAACGACAAAGGAACCTCTGGCGATATGGGAGAAAGCATGGAAGGCTTCCTGGAGGTGATGTCGAGTGAAGTCTTGGGGATGGGGTAGAGACAGGGGAGAGGCAGTGGGAGAGGGGTGTTCCAGGCAGAGAGGACAGCATATAAACGAATGCATGGAGATGGGACTTAGGGTAGCACCCCCGCCCATCAGGAAGGACAGGCAGCGACAACAAATCACAGGCCACGCAGATATGAGGGATGGACAGGGAGCTTAAGGCTACATCAGGTGGGGCTTAGAGCTCTTTAACAAGGGGAAAGGGAGACTGACGGGGCACCCTTCACATGTGAAAAGATACGACCCAAAGTTATCCTGGGCTGTTCCAGGGGCAGACCTAAACCTGGAGGGAAATTACATGGAGGGGGGTTTTCCACCCATGAGGCCTGCAGATGTAGAAAGCTCCCCCCACCCCGGGAAGCATTCCAGCAGAGGTCAGGTGCCAGCCCAGTTTGTCAGGCAGCAGAATGAGGGCCGCACCCACAGTCTGAGAGGAGGCAGAGGGGCAGATCGCTTTGCAGACAGGGAGGGTTCCTGAAATGGGTAGTAAGAAAGAAAGGGGAAGCAGAGGACAGAGACTAGAAAGTGCCCTCTGGGTCAGAATGCTGGCTATGGAGCTGGCGCCAGACTGAGCTCCGGGGTGTGACCTGCAAACCCAAAAGAAGACCCAGGAGCTGCCAGGGACCCTCCCTTGCCACCTCTTGCTCAGCACAGCCGCCCCTTGGGCCTCTTCCTGGTAAGGAAGACGCTGTCCGTAAGAGCAGAGTCAAGGACGCTTTCCTGGGGTTGCCCTCAGCACCAGGACGCTCTCACTGCAGACAAAGCGGGCAGCCCACAGTGCACCAGGGTGACGGCCCCTGCACCTGCACCCACACCCCGTGTGGAGCCTGCGGCACCCCGTCACCCCCAGGCAGGGCTCTGCACCTGCACCCACACCCCGCGTGGACCCTGCGGCACCCCGTCACCCCCAGGCAGGTCTCTGCACCTGCACCCACACCCCGTGTGGACCCCACAGAGCCCTGTCACCCTCAGGAAGCCTCTCTGTACTAACCCCATGCCGGCCGCGCCCTTGTCTTACCTGGCCGCTTCACAGTGACTTCCGTGCGCCCCGAAACCTCCTCAGCCAGCTTGTACCAGGCATAGTTGGGGCTCAGCAGCCACTCCTCCACGTGGCAGTAGTAGCTGCCACTGTCACTGACCTCGGCCCTCTGCACGGTGAGGCTGAACAAGCCCCCGGAAAAGTGCCTCTCAAACTGCAGCCGGGGCCTCAGGCCCTCCTCCTCGGCATAGGTGCCGTACTCGAAGGCGGAGCTGTGGGTGGTTTTCAGGATGAGCTTCCCGTCAGCATCTGAGGGCTTATGCACGTACCAGAGCACCGCAAAGTGGGAGTTCGAGCTGGTCTGAGACTTAACCGAGCAGTTCAGCTGGATGGGCCTGTTTTCCACCAGAGTGAGGGTCCTCTTCGACTTGCTCACCTGCAGCTTTGTCACTGCAAAGGAAAGGGGGCGATTCAGCACAATCACTGCACACACCCGCCCAGGAACGTCCCCAGCCTCACGTGCGGCCTCCAGCCTGGTTTTGCCCCGCACGGTTCCGGGAGGGCCGGCCGCGGGCGGGCTTCCTTCGAAGCATGGCTCGGTGTGAGGGAGGCTGCACGGAGCCGGTTTTACCCCAACATCCCTCCACCTGTCTCCTCCCTGCTCCCCTCACCTGCACACAGCCTCCAGGGGACCCAGCTGAAACTTCAATCATTTGCCTGCCTAGGAAGTTCAATGGCTCCCAACTGCTTGAGCTCATAAAGGAAAAAAAAAAAATCCTTTTCACAGTACAAAGTCCCTCCAGGATTTGGCTCTCACCCAACTGTCCTCACTCATCTCAGTGACTCACCCCTCCAGCGCCCCCACCCCTCCCCAGCCCCCTGCACCTCCTCCTTGAGCTCTGGTCTCTGCTCAGCTGTCCTCTCTGCCTATGTCCTTCCACCATCTCCCTCCACACCCCCGATCCGTCTGTGCCCTCGTCCTTCCATGCCCCCTCTTTCCCTCCCATCCTACTGGGCCAGCAGCCCCTCTCTGCCCTGGCACCATGTCTTCGACATATCTTCCGGAGGTTTTTCCTTAGTCTCTCTTCCACCCTAGCCTCTGAGCGCCCTGTGGGTAGAGATCAAGCTTTTCCCTTGCAGTCTGCAAGTATTTTGAGTGTGCCCCTCCTGAATCTAGTAAGTGCTAGGGATGCCCTGAAGAACACTGTCCTGCCTAGGGGATGTTCTCGTCACTGCACCCCCAGAGCCTGGCACAGCGCCTGGGCTATGGAAAAGCACTCAATCAGTGTCTGCTGGGATATGTGGGGGAGAGCATGTGAGAGAAATATGGTAGCAGGTAGTTCGGGGATTGCTGGGGTGATCTTCCTGGGGGCAGAGAGGGAGAGGGCAGAGAAGAAAATGCCGAGCAATGGGACAGAACGGAACCACCTCCAGTGTCCTTCCCCTCTCCACCCTGCTCCAAAACCGGAAGGGAGGGCAGACTCCGGAGTGCCACCCTACCTGCTAATTAATGGCTATGCTCGCCTTTGAGGTGGCAGGAAGCCAAGGTCGAATGACATATATCTTACGTAGGTAATCTGCGATCATACCCACTCCATCTTTATTACACTTGGCTCTGCTTTCCCGCTACCGACCATCCTCTCCGTACTGAAAAAGTTTTAAAAAAGGAAGAAGATGTAACTCTGAATTCCTCCTGGGGAGCTATCAGTGCAAGCACCTTTTCACACCCCAACTCAAATTTCTGAAAGCCGCAGACAGTCACTTGGATGCCCTGGTCCCGCACAAACGTTGCGGATGGCGGGATCTGATACCCAACGCCATTACTACAAAAGCCACTCTAGGGACAAGAAACTCAGTGGTGAATCGGGTGACACTCTTCACAAAGGACTGCTGGCTGAACTCACGTCCCCACAGACCTTCTCAAGCCATCAAGAACGCACCAACATGAGAGGACTCCCGGGTCCCACGGCCCACCCTTCTGGTTTTGTCTTTTGTTGGAGCCCAGTCTCCCGCGTTCTCCCTTCTTCAAACACACAGAGTCCTCCAGGGCACGCCGGGAATCCTGGGCAGGGTTTACCAGTTAGCTTCCAAGCTCAGCAAACTGGATGCACACGAGCTTGCCAGTCGACTTTTCAGATCGGATTCCGGCAATACTTAGAACACCCAGCTCCCTTTTCATTCCTTTCCAACCCAATTCACCGCATGCAAATGATATCTACATCAGCACAAATGATACCACCTGAATTATCTGGTTCTTGTCCAAGAAAACTGGGCTGTTCAGTGCAGAGTAGAAAGAGCTTTAAAATGTATTATTAATTGGGGCCAGATTATTTTTGCAAGTGTTACTAAGGAAACCTCAATTGCTATAGTAACTGCATATGTTAAACTGGAATCCTATGACTAAGCTTCAGTTCGGTCACATGGTCCCAGAGCAAGGATCCAAGGAAGAGAAATGTTTCAAAGGATTGCCATTTTTTTTTTCTTTCCTTCCCATGTCAAAATATTGTGAAGTGTTGAAAAGCTAGAAAGAGAGGCATTTTTGAAATGTGGGGCATGCCTGACAGGTGGGCGAGGGGTCAGCTCCTATTCTATGCTCTGAATTCCCTCCCGCATCTCAAGGGCAGGGAGGACCTTCCCTGAAGCCCAGAGACCGCAGCCCCCACGACTAATTAGGAAGATCCGCCGAGTCCTGTCCAGTACTGCCCTGGGCAGTGTGTCGGTCTACACCACCCTCCTCCACAGAGGCATGGGGGGCCCGGGGGCCCTCAAGGCCCGGAGGAATTTTCATCTGCATGATGACAGCACCTCACAGGAGTGCTGTACAGGTTAAACGCAATGGTCTATAGAAAGACTTTAGCGCAGAGCCTGCTAGATCACAAACACGCAATCCATTTTCGCTCTTCCCATTTCTTTTTGGTCTCTGGGTTCAGTCCCACGTTCAAAGCTCAACAGGACAACGGGTCAGACTGGAACATTTGCTACTGAAGTGCTCCCCTGGACCAGCAAGCAGCAGGGTCACCTGGGAACTTGTTAGAAATGCAGACTCTGGGACCCCCCCCACCCCGCACACCCCCCGGCGCCCCCCAGCCCACTGGCTCAGAATCTGCCTTTAACAAGATCCCTGGGTGATTCGCGTGCACCTTAAAGCCTGAGAAATCCTGGACGTGGCCCTGTGAGTGAGTGGATTTCGAGAGGCAACAACGTAGAGGTGAAAAAGGAAAGATGCTGGGGCCAAGGCCGGGTTAATCCCCAACAGCGAGTCAGCAGGAGGAAGCGGCAGGAAGAGAGGATTCGGGGCGAGGTCCCCACCTGCCTCCCCACCTGCCGGCACAGGCTCCAGTCACACCCTATCACACACGCCGCCTCCGGGGACACCTCAGGCTCCCAGAGCTGGGAGAGCTGTGCCCTGTTTGAGGGAGGGGCTCTATCTTTCTGCATCTGGAGGCTTTCCTTCCTAGGCCTCTCCTCAAATGGAATCGTGTGCTGTGGGTTTGAGAAGAGGATGCTGCGTTACAGCAAGGACGGGGTGGTAACAGGTGGGAGGCATCAGGAGGAAGGAGGGAGCCAGCTCAGAAGGGGGCCCACTGCACCAGCCGACCTACCCATTCTGCGGATTCTGCTTTGTACCTGTGCTCGGCACACACAACTTCCATTGGTAAAGGATTCCCTTACATCCAGCTAGAGCTGTTAATTACAAAAAAAAAAATTTGTTTTTATTTCGGCGGGAGACAGAGAAAGCAGGCGAGCAGGGGAGAGGGGAAGAGGGAGAGAGAGAATCTTAAGCAGGTGCCATGTTCAGCACAGAGGCCAACACGGGACTCAGTCTCACAATCATGAGATCATGACCTGAGCCGAAATCAAGAGTCAGATGCTCAACCAAATAAGCCACTCAGGCACCCTGAGGTTAACTTTTTAAAGGCCTTTTCTTTCCTACTGAATTATTTAAAGGGCAATGAATGATCTGTGGCCCAAGCATTTGCTAAACAAACTAATAAAAGGATGACCAAATAAATATGTGATGGATCCTGTCTTGGAGGTATGGAATATAAAGGAAAGGCATTTAATCCTGACTGTGATGGGAGGGACAGCACATTTCAAAAAGTGTGTGACCTCTGAGCTCAGCCCTGAAAAACAAGTGACTAGGTAGGTGCTCCCCAGGCACAGGACGGGGGGAGAAAGGGCACCCAGGTGAGCGAAGGTGAGAACTTCTCTGTGCCCCACTTTCAGGGAAGGGCAAGCAGTCAATACGGCAGGCAGATGAAGTGAGGGGCCTGGAGTGCGTGTCAGACGATGCCACGCCCCCCCCAACCCCCCGCCGGGGCTCCCAGCAGGCATCCGTGGCCTTCCCACAGTAGCATCACCTGGGCACCTGCTGAGACCACTGAATCACAAACGACGCAGGGGAGGCCCAGCGACCTGCAGTCTCACAAGAGAAGCCACAGGTGTGGTGGTGAGGTGGCCACGGGAAACCCAGGGGACAGCAGCTTCTGTGCAGGGGGTGAGCAGAGGCCAGTGGTAGCAGGAAAGGAGACACAAGCCGTGAGGGAGGAGGGAGAGAGAGAGAGAGAGAGAGAGAGAGAGAGAAGAGGCTGTGCTTTATTAAGAACATGTGACAATGATCATTAATGTTAGGCATTAGGGGGTCAGCGGCTGGACAGCAGACGTTTGTCAACTTACGAGAACCAAGTCAGTCAAGAAGAGAAAACTATGGGGGTGCGTGTGCCACCCTTTCTCAGAGAAGGAGACGGCAAAGGCACCTGCCGGTCAAGCAGTTACATCCTAAGCCCCTGCTCCTCTTCTCCCCGTGGCCAGGCCCCATTTGTGCCCCTAGAATCTGTGTCCAACCTTACACTTGGCCTGCATTCCAGCCTTCCTGCCTGCAGCCTCAGCCCCCGCCAGGGAGAGCTTCCTAAGCTGCAAACGGGAGCGTGTTGCTCCCAGCCAAGCAATAGCCCCACGACAGCAGTTTTCAACAGGGCAGCAAGGCCCCCAGGGACGCCGTGGAAACCTGTGGGCAGGTCTTTCCTGGTCACATTGATTGGGTAAGGGCTCTAGTCACATTTAATGGACGAGCGCCTGCGACAGATGTAAAGCCACGTCTGGGATGGTTCTATGCAACAAAACTCTACCTCGTGTCCCGTGTGACTTTCAAAGGACATTCATACGGGTGAAAACTCTGTCCCTGAGCCTAGAACCTACATACGTTTCATTTTATTATCTCCACAATACTTTTTTTTTTTCTTGGCATGGTTTTACTATACGCCAGATAAATGAAGGAAGGGTTTTCCTTTGCTCTGTTCAGTGCTGCTGTAAGAGTTGCTCAGGATTTCGGACGCCCTGTCCAGGACAGCAACGCCCCTCGCACCGGCCGGTGTGCACAGGGACAGAGCCGCAGTGCCTCTGCCCGGGGTAGCCGACCCTGAGCACGTTACATGTTACAGCATGTTACA